AGCCAAAAGTCACAGCTCTAAAGCAAACATGACACAATTACAACTGGATTTATTTCCAGCCCCTCAAGTTATTAATTAGCCTGCTCTAAGTATCTCTGTTTCTTTGCAGGGTTTGCTCTGGCTGGGTTAATGGCTACTCTCAGGTCTGAGAGAAACTCAGTCTGGGCCTGTCCTTTGTCGAGGGATGCTCTGACAAGCCACAAACCTGTCTGGCTCCTGCCAAACCTCCATCACTACGTATGAGCTCCTTCCCAGCCAGAGAACGACAGAGCAAGTGCTTCCTGCATCACTGTCCATGTCCATCTAGCACTCAACAAAAAACAGGCAGAAATTATGGTGTCTCCCGTAGGGATATAAAAAGGAGGTTTTATCATCTCTTCAGTGTGCAGTTGCTGCCTTCCTGTAGGAAGTTTGCACAAATACCAGAGGGGAGGACACGAACTTCACACTTTAACTGCCCTTTAATGTCGGTGCCATAAGTTACTCAGCAAAAGCCGGCCCCTATTTCATCCACAGTTCTTTCTCTTACAGCCTACTTTTCCATCCTTTTTTCTCCTCTGAATATTCCCAGTTTCCCCCACATTCCTGTCCAGAAGGTTTGAGAGCTTCCTGCCTGCAACATGCAAGAGTGATGGCTGTTGCACAGCCAATGAAGCAATGAAGTGTTGCTCAAAGCCTGACTCTTCTAATGGCTCTGAAAAACACATGCTTGTCCAGGTTGCATTGTAGCTCACATAGTGGAAAGCATATTTAGCAAGCCAAACCTGGGATCGTTTAAACTTGAGGTTCTCAAAAGCCTCACAAAAAAGTACAACTCCACACATTTCAGGATTAGTGGAATCTACCAACCAGCTTCTGGGGACCGTAACCCAGATTTGGCCATCCACGGCAGACTCATCTACTCCATACTTACCCCTGCTGTGTAAAGAAGCTGAAGCAACTCCTGCTCTAGTGCAGCGGTCATCCTAATTAATATACACTCCCTACTGGTCTCAGTCCTCCCTTTTCTCTAAACCAGCAAGTACACTAAAAGAAAATCTCCCTCTACCAGCAATTACTTACTTTGGGAATGGGAGAAGAAGGGAAAGGTAATCTGAAACAAGCAGATACTGCAGAAAGCATTCAAAGATTTTGAAAAAAAAATAACATCTTGGTGCTTGCTTGGGTCAGGTGGAGTGTTGGGTAATGAAAACACAGGAAGGCATATGCCAGAGGGATTTTAGACATGTATACTGAAGAGAGGGGTTGGATATTGGGTAAAAATGCATTGTGTTGCAAGAAAAGCTATTTACAGCCCCTTTCCCTGTGTTTCCCAAACTTCCTGATGGGATTAGTCTCTGCTGCAGATCTGGACGCAGAAAAGCATCTGACGCCGATTAATTTCATGCAGATCTGTAGCAGAGCCTTGTGCTCTCACTCAGCCACGAGCAAGCCTGCGCATCACTCCTGAACTTACTGCTTCTGACTGTTCCCATGGTAAAACCAGCCACAGCTACCAACGCAAACACAACCTGCAGATCTCGCCTGAAACATGGCATTTTGAATCCCTCTCTCTCTCTCTGGCGAATCTCCAGATTCACTTCTCCGCACAGAGGTAGAGGATGAGATCCAGTATCCCTGTGATAGCTCTGCCAGCCTGTGTTGACAAATTTCCTCCCCATCGCTCAGTGAAGCCGTGCCAGCACATCTGGGAGACACACATATCGCCCAGATCCGCGGGGGCAGAGTTATGGTGGTGTTGGCAGACGCTTGCTTGCTCATTTCATGCTTTTCAGAGATCAGTCATTGTGTTTGATGTTCCAGAAAAGCATATAGGATGATCCTAACCTTTTGTTACCCATTTTTTAAAACAGAACTTGGCTTGAGAATTCACACTTCAGTGAGGAACAGAAACTTGTAACTGCCCCTAAGCACCTACTGTATGAGGCTGAGATGTTACCACGCTGATTTACATACTCTTCAAATTTGTAAAGTGGAGGTGTCCCCCCCGCAGCTGCAAAGCCAAGAATTCATTTTCTAATGAAAGGGGAGATTCAAAATACAGCACATATTGGCCACGCATACATCAGGTAGGCCATTGTCCTGGTTTGGCCCACATCGTTGGCACCCTTGATTTAAAGCATAGCAGAGAAAATAACCCAAGAAACAGTATGTCTTCCCTATAAATAGCTGCTCTCTAGGTAGTAGTCAGTGTGCGGTTTATGAACAAAATCTGTCTAAACTACATCAAAGTGTCTGAATATTTGCTGCCTGACTTTGCCGAGTTGTGTGCCTAATATGGCTAACACCTCCTGTTGCAGACCGTTAGCCAGTTTTCTTTCATACCCCTCTGAACTCTGTGGTAGCATTTGGACAGATTTTATGTAGAGTTTATTGAAAGACTTTTGCACTGATTTAGTGCATGGGCTACTTGAGCCAAGTGAAACAGGAACTATATTCCTAAGGCATGAAAAGGCAGAAAGGAAATTTTCTTATTGAAATATAATTTTTCCACATTACTTAATAGTCTAGAAAGTTAATACCTTTCTGGCAGCACTTCCCACTGGGAAAAAAAATATGGTTCCTACTCAGCCAAACAACAATGTAATAATGTTTTAGGTTGGGTTAAACATCTTAGAAGCTGGCAGGTGTCACAGCCACCTTGCCTTTAGTGAAAAAGGCAATTGAGAGCCCTTATGAAACAAGGGATTTACATCAGTAGGGGCTACTACAATAAAAAACAGGCACATGGCAAGGTTTGAATAGATGGTGAATCATGTGGCCCAGGGGATTTTTCGGGGTGGGGGCATGTGTGTAAAATATCAGGCCATGAGGACCAGATGGTAGAGCTCTGCATGTGCAAGAGAAACAGCAAGAAACACTACCAAAAAAAATGGATACTGAGAAACAGCTGAAAGTCAAGGAGACCGGGAAGTTTGATTTTGAAAAAAAGGTATTCCAGGGTTGAGTGAGGGTCAAAAGAGTGTTGGTGCTGTGAGCAAAAATGCAACTGAAAAAACAATTTTGTGCAGTTACTCTGTGAAGAAACTGAATTACCTTGAGTATATACCTAGCCTTGTCATAGGCATCTCCTCTCAACACTGATATGGTCACCCATAGGTTCTTTGTGTGTGCAAAGTACAGTTCAGCTCTCCTACATTGCAGTTTACCCTTTCCTGTCTGCCCTGTCAGTTCACACTGTAAATTGTGTGGGGCAGAGATTATTCTTCAGTAAGGGTCTGTGCACATGACAAACAATTGCTGCCCTTGTGTAACATCTGAAATTTATCAGAAATTCACTTTACTTACATGGTAAGTCCCATTCTTTAGGGTCTGTTTTTCCTATTGTAAACTCTTCAGGGTGTTGTCTCTTGTTGCATACTACATGCTGTGTAGTTCACTGGGAATTCATCGCTGGAAACACAAATAATTAATATCACTGGTAATGTTCAAAAATAAATATTTAAGGCTCTGTCTTGTTATGCACATTCTTAACTAAGTTCATTAATATTTCCTTTGACATAAATGGGGCTACTTGTTCTTACTGTTAAGTTTATGTTTAAGTCTTTGTGAAGCTGGGGTCTATATTATCAAGAAGAAAATTCTTTAGTGTATTTCAAAAATGTAGTTATAAAGACATTTAAGAAGAAGAGGTCCCTATTCTTGTCAAGTTTGTACTACCATATAAACTGATAATATGAATATACAGCAGATGGCGTGCGCTATTACTCCTCTCTGCAATTGTGGCTACAAGGAAGTACCAGTAGGCCGAGACCTTGCTGGTTAGCTAAAATAGTTGTATTTTCCATTAGAAATATTACTGCAAGCCATGCTTCTTAGCCTAAGGGCATGCACAATGATAGAGCTTAATTGACTGGAAGCTTAAAACTTTTACAGTATTCAGAGTTCCTCCTAACAGAAGAATGTAGCAAACCAAAATATTTTGTCAAGTCAGTTAGCATATTTGCTATTTAAAACAGTATTTTGTGAACAGAAAGATTTACAATTATGCTTTTCCCTCACTTGACTCTCTATAGTCACAAAACTCACGGACTTTTAATATTATTAAATCTCAGTTTCCTTGACTTCTTCAAGCACATCACAAGAGACAGAGAGAGGTAGCACAAGTGTGTTGCTGTTTTTTCCTTAGGAGGTTAGGCTAAGGATATGCCTTGAAGGTCTTCCATTGTAACAGAACTGTCCAGGAGGTTGCAAGAACTTTTCCCTGGGCTTGGTATTTTGAGAAATGGGAGTATCAACTTATTTCCTCACCCTGTATTGTAAAAAAGTCATAGCTTCAATATTAAACCTAATCTGCAAGTCTTTTTTGGGTGTCCTCATAACTAACCTGAATTACCCATCAATACCATCTGTCATGGTTTAAGCCCAGCCAGCAACCGGGACCACGCTGCCACTTGCTCACTCCCCACCTCTCCCACCGCCCAAGTAGGGCAGCGAGAAGAGGGAGAAAAGGAAGGGAAAGGAAAAAAACCTCATGGGTTGAGATAAAGACAGTTTAATAGAACAGTAAGGGAAGAGGAAAATAATAATAATGATGGTAAAAGGATATACAAAATAAAGTGATACAATACTAGTCGTGCTCAGCACCCAGTGATCGGTTGCCCAGCCCATCCCAAGCAGTGATCACGGATCCGTGCCCCCCGGCCAACCCCCATTTATATACTGAGCATAATGTCTACGGTATGGAATATTCCTGTGGCCAGCTTGTCCTGTCTGTGCTCCCTCTCAGCTTCTATGGGAAGCTGAAAGTGTCCTTGACTAATATAAACATTACCTAGCAAAACCTAAAACAATATGTGTTATCAACATTCTTCAACATTCTAGACCCAAAACTAACCCCAAAACACAGCAGCTACTAGAAAGAAAATTAGCTCTAACCTAGCTGAAACCAGGACACCATCTAAAGTGTTAAAGTATCTTTTAAAAATCATATACTTCCAGTAGTTTTCCTAGGCAGCACGCTAACCTTCCACTCCTTCCTATTATTTTCCTTGGCAATCATGAAGCGACCAATTGGTAACACAACTGGAACACAGATATTTACCATACCTCATTGAAGTCTTGATTTTAGTACGCTCACTGTAAACGTCTACACACATATTGACTCTCGAGCTGCAGATGCGCAATCTTTTGGTGAAACAGAACTTGGGCCACAATCAATATACTGGCCAACACAGAAGTAGGAGAAGGACACTTGCAATTAATAATGATTAGGTTTGAATTTTACTAATAGAGGGTTGAATCTTCTGCCATTTAAATCAGTGGCAGAATTCCATATTAGATTTTACTTTTTCAGAGTCAGCAAAATAGGAGTAGCATAGGACTTTATATGCCTAAAGCACTGCATACCTGTTAATTAAAAATAAGTAACTGAGACACTGAAATGCTATATTTAGTCAATACGAAGTTGACTCACTACAAATCCATTACTTAAAAACAGTCTTTGGAGTGTTTACAGTTGATTTTAGAATCTCCTCACTTTAGATTGTTTTGTCCCAAATCTAAAGGTGTACAAATGTAAAAAGTTTCCTTAACTATAAAACGTAAAAGGAGAGAAAGCTGTGAGAAATTTAAAGATTGTTTTGTGAGACTTGGAAAAAAAAAAAAAAAAAGACAAAGAACCCAACCTAACAATAACCCACAGAATACTTTTATCCCCCAAAAAAACTTTTATGACAATAATTGACTTGGAAAAAAACCCTGAATTACAGTACTCAATTACAGGAAGACCACTAAGTCTACTTGCTGATCATATCATAAATACTGCGATACTGGTTTTGAGTCAGGTCCAAATAAATGGTTTCAGGGTAAAACAATTCTTTCCTGCACCGTTCATTCCTGTGCCGTACTGGAATGCCCTCGGCCATTGGTCAACAGGAGCTGACGGCTTTTACTGTGTTCCAGCTAAGGTATGTAAGATTGTGGTTCATAAAGCATCTTTTTGACAGCTTGTGTATGCTACATGCTTGCATCAGCTTTTTCCTCAGTAAAATGGTTAGCTTTAACTAGGTGTGAATTCAGGTGCTTTTTTGTTATTATTATTTGAATTATATGACACTTGGTTGGGTATTTACACGCCCTTCCTTCTCCCTATGGCCAAAATATCCTTTTCTTGCTTTTTGTTTGCCCTCTGCACAAAGCAGGGTTTTCCACGAAAGAGTTGCGGAGTGCAGCAGTGTTTGCGTTTGGTCTGGAAGGCCATCTAGTGACACAACCGTGCAGCAGAAAATGCAAACCCCTGCTTCAGTTGTGACTTTTTATTTTTTCTTAGTTGAATTAAATGATCTTGAGACAGTCAAGCATGCCCTCGGGGGGTTGTTGCTATTCCCACAAGTGGTATTTCAGAAACTTTTAGAGTCAATTTTGATTCCGTAGGAATTAACAGGGTGTATTTGAGATGGAGCACGCTGTTAATCCCTGCGAAGAAAGAAAGACAATTTTTTTTTACGCAGAATGGTGGCAGATTGGCACCCGAGTAGGTCTGTCATGAACGCATCGTGATGTGTGTATCATGGCCAAATGTCCCAGGCTGTTGTGATCCCCTGGGCCCACCCCGGTACAAAACAATGCCAGGCGGGTGCCTGGGGCTATCCCATCTCTGCAGTTAAAATGTAAAATTCCGGTTTATTTTCATCGCAGCTCACCTTGGATGGGTGGCACTGGGTGAATAAGCAACAAGCAGAGCAGTCAGTTCCTACTCGGGCAGTAAATACGGTCGAAAACAAGCAGCAAGTCACCACCATTCCCAGTGCCAGCAACAAGACGCGTTTCCAGGGGCACCTCAGGGGGTCTCTGCCTCCCCCCCGCCATGTCTGGCACTGCACCCGCCGCACTCTTCCCCCTCAGCCACCGCGACCGTGATCTGCCGCTGTAGATGTTGAGGTTGGACTGGAAGACATCTTCAGGCGCTGGCAACTTGAGGCAAACCAACATGGCGCTGGAGGCCCAAAGGGGCTCCCTGGGGGAATAAATGAGGACTGGGGGGAGGCAGGACGCTGGCGCCACAGTTGCTGAACGGGGATGAGCACCCAAGCGCGGGTAACATGGTGGGAAGCGCGAAGGGGACAGGGCCCAAAGGCCCCCGGGTGGATGGAGGCCTTGGAGGCTCACTGGGAGGACGGGTGTGCGCAGCCCCTGTGGGGTTTGGGGGGAGAAGGCCAGACGGGGTGCTGAGGGGGCTCCTGCGGCGCCCACCGGGGCCGCGGTCCCGCGGGTGACCCCGGCAGCCCGTGATGAGC